AAATATATGTTGGAATCCTAATCCCTATACCTGTGGATGTGATCCCATCTGGAACTAAGGTTTCTGTTATGTTAATGACTCCATATCAGTGTTGCGTGTTTCCTAAACCTAATTACTTCTGACTTACAAGGAGCAGCATAGACTCAGAAGAAAGAAGCACCAAGTGGAGAAAACAGAAGCGCATGTGAGGATTGCCAAGGAACCGAGGAATGCCAGGACTGTAGAAGCTGATCTTCTTCTAGAGCCAAAAGAGAAAGCCTTCAATTACAGCCAGCACCCTGAATTCAGACTTCTAGCCTTCTAAACTATGAGGAAATTTCTGTTCTTCAAAGCCACCCAGTTGTGGTATTCCTGTTAGAGCAGCAGTAGGAAACTAAGATGGGGTAGTGCTTCATGGGTACAGAGATTATGTTAGGAGTGATGAAAAAGTTTTGGAAATAAATAGCAATGCGACACACAAAAAGAGAAAAAAAGTTTAGGGGCATGAGTAGAAACTTGGAGACTAGAGTGGGTGAGAACAGTGAGAAGTATACAGATTCAGAATATATTTTGAAGATATATCTCTCTGATTGACCCCTAGGTTTGGGCCTGCAAAAAGGGTGTGTGGGCATTGCCATCTGACCCCCTCTAACTTCACAAAGGGGAGAGAATGACCATCAGTATCACCAGCCCAAGACTGATTCCTGTGAGGCAGAGGTCAGACATGCTGTCACCCTCCACAACACTTTTGCCAATTCTGACACCAATCATCCCTCCCAACACCACTCTCTACTTCTTTGCTGGATTCGATAATTCATTGTAATGGCCACACAGATACTCACAATTATGAGGTTCATCAGGGAAGTAACAGGTTACAAATCAGATTCAGAACACACAGGATGCAATTGTTCGATCAGGATAGCCTCCCCTCAGCCATGTCCATAGGTATGCCTCTCTTTGGTGCTTGGCTCCTTGGTCTGCCCTCTGCTCCACTCGGGCAAGTGTTACATAGTTCTTTTCGCTCTACTGATAGGTGCCCAGGGAAGCACCCCAGTCTGCCAGCAAGCCTCCTGTCCCATAGCACTCAGCTTTCTCACTCCATGGGCCAGGGAGCCCACTGCTCTGTCTCATGCTGGTCTCTTGGTTCTGCTGCCTCTGCTGTTACCAACTCAGTGTAGGGATCTCGGGTCCAAAGACACACTCCACTCCTGGCTCTTCTTGATGGTAGTGAGATCCCATCCCCCTTTTCTGCCTCTAGGATGGCTCATTTTTAGCCTAGTGGAATGGCAAAGCTGACCAATCACCATATTAGGGCTCCATACACATTATTTTCATGGTCCCATCCCCACAAGGGTGCCATGTACCTTATTTACGTTATTAGCAAGCTACCCATCTCCCTTGGTGGGTCACAAGCACCTTACATTTGCATAGTCTACCCAGTCCAGTCACCTAGTGCAAGTCACAAAGACCATGGCTAGAGGAGCCATACTAAGTAAGTCACTGTACAACAGAGGCCTAATCAATGGCATATAGTGTTGCCATGAACTGATCTGGGGAAGACTGGAGGAAGAGCAATAGGGGTGGATAACACAGATTCTGTTTTGGACATAGTAAATAAAAGGCGTCAACTAGATAACCAAATAAAGATATATGTAGGCAGTTGTAGATAAAAGTCTGGAGTTCAGGGGTGAGAACAGAATTTCAGATGTTAATTTTTAAATTATCAGTATGTAGATGCTATTATTATAAGCAAGACCAATTGCAGAAGGAGTATTGATAGGAGAAGGAGGCTATATAGATTTCTTCCCTTCTTCCTCCATGTCCAATCTGAGTCCTAGGGAGTAACCTTCCTTCTTTAGGCCATGGGAGGCTGCAAGGACTTCATCAGCAAAGCCCTCTGGGTGGACTGGGTCAATGGAGAAGCTGGCAAGAGACTGAAAAAAAAGGGAGGGTCATGATCAGCTGGAATTTAGAGGCAGGTGCCAGTCCTTTGTCATGAAGGGCATTAAATCCTTGCAGCCTGCACAGCTGATAACTATAGCTGGAAGCAACTATGGTCCAAGGCTCATTATGCTTTAAGGAAACTTAAAGGAAACAGAGTTTCAATACCAAGAATACATCTTTATAGCGACTGTAAAGCATTTTATAGGGATTTTATAATGCAAATTCAGAATTGCTACAGTTTTCCACTTCCTATCTCCTGCACTCACTGCTGGCGAGTCGGATCCAACTCACAGTGACCCCTCCTGGGTTTCAGAAGCAGTATCACTATGGAAGTAGATGGCCCAACCTTCCTTCCAAGGAGTGCCTAAGGCATTAGACTGCTAACCAGAAGACTGGAGGTTCAAACCCACCAGCCACTCCTCGGGATACTGCCTGGGAAACCCAAGGAGGGGTCGCTATGAGTCGGCTGTGACTCAAGGGCAGTGAGTTTGGTTTTTTGGTATCTCCTGCACTATGTATATACAATATATCTGTTTATATTTTTACCTTCTAGCCTAGACCAAGAGAGTTCCTTGTAAATATTTACATGTTTGGATATATTAAGTGGTCTTCACCTGGGACACAGGATTGTGAATATGTGTTCATTAGTTAATTCTTGGGATGCCTTTCACTCCCTGGTTAAAATTTCAATTTTTATTTCTCTCATTTTACCTGGCCTTGATTCTGAAAGGTCCATCTAATTCAGATGTCCTCTCTAAGAATTCTTCCCAGAGCCACCCATAATTAAAGTCTCTCAGGCTTTATAAATATACCTCTATTGGACATTGATTTGTAAATGCAAAAAAAAAAAAAAAGATAAAAAATCATCCACAACTAGCCAAAGGCATTCATATGTAAAGCATTTCTCATTCCTGACTTGCTCTTGCACTTCTTTCCCCTTCACCACTGCATTTAGAAAAAAGTATTAATAAATGGATTGATAATAAAAATGAAAAATACATAATAAAACTGAAAATATTTAAAAAACTATAGTGTTTATCACTTTGTATTTTGATGAACTCAAGACTGCATCTCACACCATATCCTGAAATGAGTATTTGAAGAGTTAAATAGATATAAAAAATTAAACTGCCAAAAACACTGGAAGAAAATAGAGTGTTAAATCTCTGGAGCTGGAAGAAGATGCTCTTCAGAGTTTAGAAGAGCATTCAGAATCATAAAGGAAAATGGATAGGTTTTTACTTTGATAAAGGATTTATTTACTGTAACTACAAAATGTTGATGTATATATTACATGAAGAACTCAAGCAAAACAATTTATGTCCAGGGAGCAAGAGGGCAAAGGACATGAAAAAATAATTCACAAAAGAGGAAATGCAACTAGTGAGCAGCATATGCAAAATATGCTCAATCTCACTATTAATTCAAGTTATAATTGAAATGAAAGTAACAATGTTCTTCTTATGTGGTAGTTGTGTGTCAATTTGGCTGCACCTGGTTTTGAGTGGCTGGGTAGCTGGATAGTTGTTGGGTAGTTTTGAGTGGCTGGGTAGCTGGGTAATTTTTCCCCCGATGAGACTGGTAATCAACTCCATGGTGGAATCTACTAGAGCGGCTGAGTAGCTGCCTTAGGGATGTGGTCTGCTTCCAGTATATAAAGAGAAGCCTTGGGGAATGGTCTCTAGCTCATGGCATGCTTGGACCCTGCATTTTTACTTCCCAGAGTTTACCTCAGGAAAATAATCCCAAATATACACACTACACTACACTTGATCTTAGCCAAAAGGCCAAATATAGGTAGAAAAAAATTTCATCACAGCACTTTTTAATAGAATATAACTGCGTACAACTCAACAATAGGGATGCCCAACATTGTGTATCCACTCGATGGGATATGTGTAACAACTTAAAAACATAAACCGGGAAAGGAAAGGAAGTACTTTTCCACACTTCATTTATTGTACTTATTGTCTTAGAGTCTGTCATATAGGGGTTCCTTTCCTCCCTGAGATTATAGTTTTAATTGCAGTGAAAATGAAACCTAGACACACCATTTAGAGCCTGGGTTTGGCTGAAATTATAGGGCTCAAAGTGCCAAATCACTCATTTTAGAGCTTCAGAAACAGAGGTTCAGAGAAATTGAGATTTACTCTTAATTTTATAAACTTAATATTTGTACTTTTGATTTTTTTAAAGAGCCAATCTTTCTTTTTCATATTGTAGACTTTACTTTCTGTGTTGTTGTTATTGTTAGGTGCCATTGAACTGTCTCCAACTCATAGTGACCTCATGTACAGCAGAACTGTACTGTTGCTGAACAATCTGTCATCTTATTTTAAAAATATCATTCAAATTTAATTTAGTAAATATTCCTCTGTTGTTGTTGTTGTTGTTGTTTGCCGTCGAGTTGGCCCCGACTCTTAGCGACCCCACCTTGGGTTTCTGAGGCAGTATCACTACGGAAGTAGGATTGCCCAACCTTCCTTCCGAGGAGTGGAATATTCCTCTAGCATACACTTTTGATAGATGTCATGTAAGACTCTAGATTTTATCTTTCTTCAAATTTCAGGTGGTTTCTAATTACAAAATGATGTGTAAAGTATATTTCAGTGAATACTTAAGAAAAAGTCAGCCAGTCATTTATTGCAAAGTCTGTTTATTAACAGGTACATCAGAAAAGTTATAAAGTGTCGTATTTCATGAAGTTTACAAACAGTTCTTTATGTTAAAAGTATAGCTAATATTTGTTTTATTTATATCAGTGCTTGTTTTGTTTCTTGGAGCTTTCTAAAATTTAATGAGAACTGTTCTTTAATAGGGACTGATTTTTTTTTACTAAAAATGTTGAAAATGAATAACAAATGTATTAAAATAAATTGGTTAAATATTCTAAATGGAATTCTTAATGTAATGATTATTCCTTCTTTAAAAGCATCAAAGTTTAAGGAACAAGAAAAAACTTTAAAGTTATATCAAAATCCGTGCTTACAGAACACTCCTTCCTGGCTGGCAAAGCTCTGAGTCCATTTAAAGTCAGGCAGCTGTGAGACACCACTCAGGAGGGAAGGGCATGTCACAGATGGCCAGATTTTCAGTCTTTCATTTCCTTCTTTATCAAGCTCTTAAGACTGAGCTTGAGTTGAGTTCCCCAAGCAAACTATCCATTAATTGGGTCTATGTTTCTGAGTGAGAGGAAAGTCTGCAGTTTATGATCAAAGTCAATGGCTCTGTATTGAGGTTCCTTGTATTTTCTGGTCATCTTGGCGCCCAGGTATGTTATCAGTTCACATCGCTCTATAAACTGGTCCATCTTCTTCTTATATTTTTTTCGTGAATATTCAGAACCTTTGGGATTAAATGCTGTAGAAAAATTCATAGTACTGTGAATATTTTTTTTTTTGTTAAATTGACAAATCATTAAAGAGAAGGAGGACTGAGTATATGATTGAGTTGTGTAAGCTATCCAAAACCTCACTGCTGCCAAGATGATTCTGACTCATAGCAACCTTATAGGACAGTAGAACTGCCCCATAGGGTTTCTAAGATTAGAATCTTTATGGAAGCAGACTGCTACATTTTTCTCTCATGGAGTGGCTGGTGGGTTCAAACTGCCCACCTCTCGGTTAGCAGTCAAGTGCTTTAACCACTGCACCACTAGGGCTCCTTTGTATAAAGTTATGCAAATCCCAAATAGGATTTGTGGATTCTTCTGTTTTAGGTCATAATTGCCTCTATTCACTTTCCTCTATTGTATGGGTTATTGAGAGCATATTACTCATGGTCCATGCTTTAAGGACTAGAGACTCTGTTTTGATATTTTCATTAAATTATTTGCCTTGTATTTGCCACAAACACAAACATACACACACAGTCACACACCAATCCAGCTCAGCAACCCTATTTCTCATATATACTCCAATTAATGTTCATTTAGTTCAGGGTGGTATATCATTTAGAAAGACATACCTTTTAGATGAAATGCTATAAACAGTAGTGCAGATCTTGTTATGCTTAAGAAGGGGAATTTGGGCTTTAGGCATCCAGCTGCGTTCATTGCTTTAATTAGAGACGTGGCAACACCCTGTAGGTGGGGAATAATAACATCTATATTTGAGTTTGGTTTAGTGGTATACAGATAATGCTATTCTTCACCTCAAACAGCCACCTGAAGCTGGAGAGGGGAGTTATAAGCACAGTTAGATGACCACATACCTAACAGAACAGAAACACAACATTTGATTGTTGTTGTTGTTGTTATGTGCCGTCGAGTCAGCCCTGACTCATAGCGACCCTTCCTTGGGTTTCCGAGGCAGTATCACTACGGAAGTAGGAT